AATGAGGGTCGGTTGAAAACAAAATTTTACGACAAAAGAGATGATTTCAGCTTCCCAATTGTGAACTTTCCATTTCTATGTAGCAACATTCCAGCAGCGCCTGCATACGGAGTATATATCTCCCAATTGATACGATATTCCCGGGCTTGTGTTTCCTTTCATGATTTCCTTGATAGAGGATTGCTGCTCACAAGAAAGCGATTAAACTAAGAGTTCCAAATGGTGAAGTTGAAGTCATCCCTTCGTAAAATTTTACGGACGCCATCACGAGTTGGTTGACCGTTATGGAATAACCGTTTCACAGATGATATCGGATATGTTCCTTATGTCGTAACTACAATACCCTCCTTTTTCACGAATGTGAAATACCGAATTAGATTATTTACCGGATTTGTAATAACATAAGCAACACGACGGGTGCCACATGTGGAGGAGGATCTGCTTACCCTTCTGGAGCACCTGAGATCACCCTTAAGTTTTTGGTGGGGTTCGTGTTTCTTAGTCTTTGGTTTTCAATGTTGTGTCATCTGTACTATTATTTGTCTGTTTGTCTTTTTATTTTTGGCCATGGCGTTGTCAGTTTGTTTTCGATCTATGAGTTTGACTGTCCCTCTGGTATCTTTCGTCCCTCTTTTATATGTTACAACAAGATGTAAAAATATATTTGAGAAAACTGAGAATTGATTACGGTAACTCACACAGGTCGAACCGATACTGGAACGGAACTGTTATTAAATGTTTTTCTGATGTATAGGTTGTTTTCTTTTTAACGAAATATTTTTCTCTTTTCACAAATAATCCAACTGACATACAGCTATAGTAAGCAAAAGATAGCAACTGCAAGATTTGTACTTTTGTTTAAAAAAATTTCATTTATAAATGCAACTGTTATGAACTCTTTACGTCAACAAGACTTATTTTCTCGTTTGAATTGTTTTGTGTCGGGACCTTTTATAGCTTACTATTCAGTATGGATTTTTCTCATTGTTGCGGGTCGTATGGTGACCTATGGTTGCTTTTATCTCTGTCATTTGGTCTCTGGTGGCTAGTTGTCTCGTTTGTAATCATACCACATCTTCTTATTTTAAATTTATGTTATTCTAATATTTTTCTCAATAAGATTTTGAATATTCGTATTCTGTTTAAACGGTCATACTATTTATTTTGAATATATAAAATAAACGATAATTAATAACTTAAAATTCAATAATCTTGGACCAATAATAATACAGTTACATTTTTTAATATACAATTGTTTAATGTCAGCAATTGCCAAAGATATAGTAGCTATCATATCTATGATGTAAGTGACAGCTTCTCAAATAACTACGATCTCCGTGACAAAAATACTGTGAACTGGTATGATGGTATCATCTGTTTACCTGCCTCACGCACACACCAAGAGAGAGATGTGTATTATCGGTTAATTTAATATTGTGTTGCAAAATATTAGAGTCAATCGGATAGCCCCCTGTCACGTATGATATCATTAATTATCGCGAGATTTAAACTAAAACGCGCATATGATTTCGTGATCAGGGTTGATAAGTCGCTTATGTGAAACTGGTCTATTGAGCATGGGGAATAGTAGTGTAAAGCGTAGAAAAAACAAAAGTCTTAATGTTGCTGCAATGCGTTCATTTCATTTTTTTTAATTATTTACCTCTCTCTGGTTTCTCTTTCATATTTGATAATAGTTAAATAGACATAAGGCGTGCATCCAGAGAGAAAAAAAATTATGTTCGTCCATTGCTCTTAAATGTAAAGCAAAAGCAGTTGAAGTATGAAAACAACATTTGCTTTAATTAACGCATTTATGGTCGTTCACAACATTACGTAAAAAAACATTCGTTTGATGTGTTTGAGCTTTTGATATTGCCATTTGATAAGGGACTTTCCTTCTTGAATTTTCCTCGGATTTCAGTATTTTTGTGATTTTACTTTTTTTTTTAAACAACATTCATATTGACTTAAAAATTAAAAAAATATTCTAGAGACGTATCTTTCTACTCTTTATCTAAGGATTTTTTTTCAATTTCTTTATATCATGTATTAACGGTTACCTAATTTGTTTCAATACACCATGACTACATATCATAAGAAATTCCTTTATAACTTTAACGTACGTATTTTTACAATCGAATAGATGGATGTGGAATAGAAATATGGGTCCTACAGGTCTTTTTCCGACCGGCAGTTAAACTCTTGCCGAAGCTGGTCGTCCGTATGGCTGGGTTGGATTTACAAGTACGCAGTCAAGTCCAGTCAGAATGGGCCCATTATACAAACAAATAATATATCCAAAATTACAAATAGACCAACAAACAAACACTTTATTTATACTTTTTTTTATTTTACTTATTTTTTATATATATAAGTTTCAGGTGGTCAAGTTAAATGTACTGACTTTGACTCATCTTTACTATATAAACTATTCAGAAATACTCTCAATCTCAAAATTGCTGGACCAACTAGAGGATGGGGATCAACGCCGTTATCTGGAGATAAATCCGAAGCAGACGACATAGAAAGAATCCGTTATCATAGAAACAGAATAGCACATAATACAGAATTCAAGATATCTAATAAACAATATCAAAACCAATTGAGCGAACTTTCTAAGGTATTCAAATATTTGAGTTGTTTTAAAACTATTTATTTGAAAAGCCAAAACTTTTTATTTTTTAAATTAAATCGGTAGATTCTTTATTTAAGAAAATAACGGGTTCGACTTTTACTTTTACGCAAGTTTGAAGGTTAAATCTTCAACAAAGAACGTCAAACAGGTGATTTCACAGATTGTTTAGCTATTTTTCTCTACATTCATTATTAAAACTGTTTTATTATTTGAAATATGATTTACTAAAAATTTCTTTTAAATCTGTAAATAGAGTATATAGAATTACCGTTAAATCAGTAGTGTTTTGTTTCAATTATGTCTTTGCCCAGCATGTATCTAGTCTCAAGATATCTTTTACATATAAAATTCGAATAAACAACACTAGAGTGGACACATTGTTCATACTTGTAACGTTAAAAAGAAGTCCGGTGAATATGCCTTAGAGAGAAATATCCTGCTACAAACACAAAACTGCTTTTACCTTATGTTTTATACGATTCTTAAAATATTATTCAAAAGTAATGTATCTCCATTCAGGCTGTAAACAGATAGAGTCAAGACGCTTATCGAACCGAGATTGCAGCTCTACAATACAGGCATTTTATTGGATCCCAGAAAAATGAAATTGATCGTATGAGCCAGAACCTTTCTAAAATGAAAGAGGAAATTTATGAACTACAAAATGAACTGTTTTCCTGCTAGGATGGAATAAAAGATATTAAAGATGCTGTTATTTACTGCAGAAAGGATATAGAAGAAACAAATGAACGACACGTTCCTTGTCACATCCGAAGTAAATAATAAATATATAGTCTCATTGCTTTTTTTAAGCTCAAAGTCGGTGTCAATTTTTAAATTTTAAAAGCAGACAATATATGTTAATGAAATTAAAAGGTTGGATCAGTTTTTAAACTAAATAAGTTCGGAAGGCTTTTTGCCTCTCTGCATTAGTGAAGGAAAAACCTTCAATAATTCTTATAACATTTTTTGTCATTCAAATACAAATACATTTAATCATCAACGAATTCAGCATAGCTGGTTTATTTTTACTCTTTTTTTTTATTTTAAACTGCCAGCTTATAGAATTGGAAGATTGGAAAAGACAGGATATTCTATTCTGCGACGAATCACGGGGATACAATGCAGCATATGAAAAGGCTAACAAACATCATATTGTGACATTTATCGGCAGTCCTGGTTCTGGTAAAACAGCAACAGCAAGACATATTGCACTGCTGTTCGAAAGGCTAGGATGGGAGGTAGTCCCTGTATGTAAAGACGATGAAATCATACGATATGGAAACTGTAATATTCGACAAGTATTCCTGATTGATGATATCTTAGGTTTTTTTTCTCTATATATGACGAGATTCAATAATATAGTTTCAAGCGAGAAAAGCATTATCAGGTCAATTAGTTATACAAAGTCAAAGCTTTTGTTCACTTGTCGAAAGACGGTATATAATGAGGCTATCGTATTAAAACCATTCGTTTTCGAAAATATTGTTGACTTAGAAAGCATGAACAATGAATTAAATGAACTAGAAAAGATGAAAATCATTACAACCCATTGTTCAAAGGCAGGCGTCGACAAGAAGTTCTATATTAACTTATCCCTAACGAATGTTAAAATAATGTTTCCATTTTTGTGTCAATTATTTGCAGTTAATGTAAAATATCAAATGGTTGGCTCAAAGTTTTTTGCAAGGCCATTTGAATGTCTACTTGAAGAAATGAACAAACTACAAAAGACAAATACCGCACAATATGCATCTTTGGTGTTATGTCTAGTAAACAACAGAAAGCTGTCAAAGGAAAATCTGCCTTCCAAAAATGTAAAGAAAAGAATATACAACTCTTGTGGATTAAATCAAGGAACTGCAGACAGAAAGATTTTAGATGCCTTGTCTCATATTGAAGGTACTTATATAAATAAGATGGAAAATGAAAATTCATTCAACCACGATTCAATTTATGAAGCGGTTGCATATCACTATGGACAGGAATCTCCAGAACAGATATTGAAATATATGCCAGCTAACTTTATAGCAAATACAATTATTGTTTTCGGGAATCCGTCAATTGATAATCTAGAAATTAACATTAAAGCAAGTCAGTATTTATTATTAGCTGAAAGACTTTTTTTAGATCTGGAATCACAACAACTGTTTGACGTTTTTATGAACAAGGCTCTAAAATATGAGTCGTTCCTGAATGTGTTCATTCAACTGATGAGAAAGAAACCGTACGAAGATTTTAAGATTACGTTTATAGCCCCAAGTATAGGAAACTGTCAACATTTGATATATTGCCAAGAAAATAATGAAGAGAAAGAAAGATGTGTGTATCTAAAAGAACTAGAACTATTAACTGATAAAAGCGAAAGACAACTGGAAGACAAAACCGGCAATTACATCATTCACAGAATCAGAGTGATCAGTTGGGTTGTCTATTACGGACACACTCGACTTTACAAGAAATTGTTAATCATGTTCAGGATAATAACGAGTCTACTGACTTAGTATTCGGTTCTAATATAGAAGAGCAAGCCCGGCTACTCTTGTTGTCAGTTCATTATGGTGATCCTGGCTTAATTGAACTAATACTTAAGTATGTAAAAACCGAGAACATGAGTGCTTCATCTATGTATATGTGTGACGACTTCGTTAGAGCTAACCATCATAGAACATCCAGTCCGCTTACTGCAGCATGTAGATCTGGTAGTCTGCGAATTGTAGAGCTATTGATACGGTCTGGGGCAGATTTTGATCACTAGTTTCTAGTGTATGCTGCATCAGGGAATATATATCATGAGATTGTAAAATATTTAGTTGAAGGTAGGAAAGACGTAGATAAATGTCTATCCAATCTTCTCATGATTAGTGGCTATGTACCACCATTGTGTACCGCAGGAATGAATGGATGTTCTGATATAGCTAACTTTCTCGTCCAAAAGGGCGCCGATGTGAACATAATTGGATTCTGTAATATGACACCTTTATTTCAAGCTTCAGCAGGGGGTTATATAGACATAGTAAAAATTTTTGTAGAAACGGTGCAGATGTAAATTTTTGCGATGACCACAACACATCACCACTGTTTGTAGCGACGGAAAAGGGTCACTCAGACATTGTTTCATATTTGATAAAGAACGGTGGAGATGTTAACCTGTGTACAACACAAGGCAAATCGCCTCTTTCAGTATCAATAGAAAATGGGCACTTCGATGTAGTTCAGACTTTGGTGGTAAACAATGCTAGAGTATTTAGTAAAGAATTTCCACTCAAATTTGCATTGCTTAAAGGAAGACTCGAAATTCCCGCCTTCTTTCTCCAAAATGGGGCAGACTATAAAATGCAACACAGATGTGGAGTAACACCTATGCAAATAGTTCTGTGGAAGAATTATTCGGAAATATTACAACAAATTATATCATTAGAAAATAGACTGATACCATCACTTATTTCAGTATTTAGTAGACTTGTGTGAGTTTGAAGTATTCCCGGAGACCAGTTCCCTTAAAAATGTGTTTAGCAAAGCTGAAGATATGAACTATAATAATCGTCGTTTGTATCTTCTATCATTCATTTCTAGAGGCACTGATGAAAAGGATTTAAAATATTTAATTAAGCTGGAATTATGCAGTAGACAAGAAACTGAAAGGGGACATTTACTCATAAGAGTATGTTATTAATGAGGCAAGTGTGACCAGTCGAGCTAAAAAAATAAAATTATTACTTGATTTATGCAACTCGTTCAATGTTCGGGATCACAAATGTGTGTCTCTTTTGGAACGCACAAGAATGTTATTTGAGCAAAACAGATCTGTTTTTAAGGAAACAAAATAAAGATGGAAAAATAATCCCATAGAAGAGTTCAGAGAGGTGCCAGCTTTAATGTTAGAGAATGGACGATATGCATTTCGAAAAAAGACTTACAGTGAATTGGATGTTGATGAATATTCGTCCATAATGTCGTTACTTAAACAACGGATTAGAAGATTTTCTGTTTAATAAGACTTCTTGAACTTTATTGTATTTTTGTTCTGCTACTAGTACTTTTAGCATTACCAGTTTTCTTTTACATTACATTCTTTTATGTATTTCTTATTGTTAGGTCTGTACTTGTCAATTTTCCAATTTTGATCGAATTAAATTATTGTATCGTGCATCATGTCTTTTACAGATTAAAACGAAAAAATTCAAGTAAATAGTTGAAGCAACATAACCAAGCCTCCTGACATTGCGAGAAAATGTTTACCATTCTAAAATCATGTGCCATTTATATTTCCTTATTCACGTCAGAGGTCACCCTGATTGTAGCTGTATGGGTGGAATGTACTATGCTTGAATTTACTGCAAATAGTCTACATTGCAAAGGGGGTGTTGAAGTCGTTTAACCACACCACATTATATGCCTGTACCATGTCGGGCAATATTGATGTTTAGTTTATTGTTATATGTATTGTGTTGGAGGTCTTGCCTATTTGTAGTGAGTTAGCCTTGACTACGGGATGTCGTGGGTTCAAACCCAGGCCGGATCAAATAAAAGACCTTATTGGTATTTGCTGCTTCTCCGCTAAGCACGCGGCATTAAGAGAGTAAGTACAAAAACTGGTTGGTTCGGTGTTAGGGTAATGTGTCCGGGTAGGGTGACATGTCTTCCTGTAGACTGTCACCTTGTCAACTAGCAAGTTAATAATCCGGCTCAGCGTGTCGGTCTATTATAAAACAGGGTTAACATTCGTATAACATTAACATCTTATCGTCCTGATTATGCATTTAATGTGCCGCTCGACGTTATTTACTGGCATTCATCATCATTATCTGTTGGTAGTGAGTTGTCTGCTTGCACGATCTTGATCAGCAAGATGCTTGATCACAAGTGTATAACAGGGATACTTTGAAACGGTATACAAGCATGGAGCTAAAGTCAATATAAAATCAAATTTCTTTTAAATACTCTCAATTTTCCGATAAAGGCAATTGATTACTACACTATAATGTTCTTCTAAATGCCCTAATAAATTCAAATCACTATTTTAATACGTTTGCTGAAAATTTCTGTAACGTATCCGCGAAAAAAATGTTTTAGAGGAAGAGGTTTTTTTTCTTATTTTCGCTATAAACTACTTAGTGTAGCAATTGTCACCATTAAGAAACGAGGATTCATCCCCTTTTCTTGTGCCATTGAAAGTACAAAAATCTGATAAACGTTTGAAACACAACTTCAATGAACATTTTGCACCATGTTTCTCTGTAATTGATGGACATATGTTCTAACGAATTATATGGCAGACGATGAAAACTTACTCTTTCTCGTCATGGACAAACATTGCCAAAACTAAATTCGTCTTCCTTAGTCGAATTATGAACTCTTTATAGTATATTTATAGTATTGATTGTATAATGATAATGTACAATATGTTTAAAAGTGACATTGTGAAAGATTTTTGAAAATTCTCTGTATTTTTCCAGACAGGTAAAAAGGAAATTAAAGAAAACAAAATTCTATCCGAAATTAAGCCTTGTGTTGACATTCATATACTTTACTAGTATTCAGTTTAGTAATTGGGTGTGTTTCGATGTACAAAATCTTAATTTTAGAAAACATGTGAAAGTTGCAACTTCCGTAAAATTGCCTTTATCAGTAATGTGTTGTGTTCAACATTTATCTATGTATACTGTGGATTCATTTATTTTCGTGGGTTTAATCATTAAAACATCTTCTAGAAACAATATGAAGATTCTTATAATATTCAAATCAGCAAGTTTCAACAACACTGCGATTTTTACCCTGAGAATGAAATAAGGGAAATTGGCAAGTTGGATTTTATCTTTATAGATGGTTTAAATGGTATTACTACCGTGCATTAAGCTTACATTTTTTCATGTCTCTTTTGTGTATATATCTGTAAACTTCTGTCTTCTTTATATTATTATTCTTGTTTCATATTGTGAATTGTCGGTTTTAAATATGGATGATAAACAATGTAAAGACAAAATTAAGCAGAAAGAACTCAATTTATATTATTTGAATTTTTAAATAAATGATTTATTATCTAATTTGCTCCTTATTATATTCACTGAGTTCAAGTTGTTCGTCTGCATGAAAACTGGTATTTTTATCCGGAGTGTAGCATTAGTATTGAATAATTTTACAACGTAATAACTTCAAACTTATCATTTCGAAGAGTGGAAATACAGTCATTCATATCATAGCTTTGTGGCATGGTAAAAAAGAGTTGGGTTAAAAATTTAAAAAGAACCCAAGTTGCTTACAAAGAAGCTAAAATAAATTCGAGAAGTCGATTGATTGAGTCTGTGTAGGGCGATGCAGTAGGCTAAAATCAAACCATTCTATTTTCCCATGAGTTTTTAATACATTGACAAAGCGAACATTTTGTCAATTTTTTTTTACCTGCTATGCCGGGGGGAGGGGGGTGGTGGATATTTCCTGTATTGATCATCATACAAACCAGGATTAAAAACTGTACGCCAGACGCGCGTTTCGTTTACAGAAAACTCATAAGTGACGCTCGGATAAAAAAAGTTAAAAAAGGCCAAATAAAGTACGAAGTAGAAGAGCAATGAGGACACAAAATTCCGAAAGTTTTTGCCAAATACAGCTAAGGTAAGCTATGCTCTTTTAAGTACGTATTGTTAATCTACTGATCGAGATTACAAAAGGAGGGATGAGATCTGATGAAACACTTATTTTACCCATCCACCTTTTCATGTGCCTGTCCTATGTGAGGAAACACGTCGTTGATGTACGTCACATCTTTTAAATGTTTTTCGTTATTTTGATAATTTGGGTATCGATGGTCGATCTTTGATTGCTTCTGGTAAATGTTTTCACAACTTTCAAAGGGAGACTCAGAAATATTTAGAGCTTGATTTATTGTAGTTCGGTCACATGTCTTTTGTTGAAGACTGAATGTTAACCTCTAGATGTCATTTATTGTTTTTGTCGTTGGTTTGTCATTTACCTTTACCCAAACATCTACTTTTATTCGCGTCGTGTTTTTAAGTTGAATTATTCATCTATTATTAGAGAAACTAAAGACATGGTTCTAGAAATAATATGTTTATTGTGAAAAGTGTAAACGTAAGACTATGAAGTTCGAAGTATAAGGACTATGACATAAACGTATTGTGCGTGGTGAGAAATTAATATCTACAATATAAATCTGATTCTAAATTACGTTAATTATTTTTTAATTGTAAAAATTCTCTTTTCAAATGTTTCCTATTTGACTATGCCAGTGCCTTTAATTGTAACTTATGCAGAGTATAAGTGTTGTTTATTTAGACGGGATGGTTTCTTCCATGAGATGTGGCAGTCGATTCCATTATAAGGTCAAAGGTCATGCCTAATTTGGTCTGTCTGATATCAAGGATTAGGTTCTCAGATTACAATTGCAGGCTGCCAGCTTCTCACTTTTGATTTTGCTGTTGAATACAAAGGACGTTTACTCAATAGGAATAAGTTTTCAATTTCATTTTACAGTTTTACTAATTACACTGATTTTCTGCTGTTAAACTTGAGACTTTATTGTGGAAGATTGTCTGGACTGGAAATCGGATTTATATAACTTTATTTTCATTCTCCTGCCTTGGAGACACAAGGTATTTTACACGACTTTACTTCCTAAGTGTGATTACGATTATTCAGAAGAACTGTAGACAATTCTTTAAAACCTCATCGTAAATTAGTGATCTCGGACATAATATTCATTGCAGTTTAAATTCGTCTTTCCAATCACTTCTTGACATTCAATATTGGACTATTATTTCCCGAAATTTGAGAACTTGAATCAGTTTTATTAAACAGTTTCGTAATTTTACGGCTATAAAAACTTCAGTAAATAACATGGCTTCTTCAACCAGACGTAACCGTCGTTCAAGAAACAGACAACATCCATATCACAACGAAGAAAATGCAACACAAAGCTCGCAATGGGATATGGAAAATCCAGAAAATTGGACAGGTGCAAGATTTCGGGACGAATTACGGAAGTTAGGAATTAACATTCCAAAAAGCT